TTGGGAATTTACGACAATTTCGGCATTTTACGACAATTCATGATTTTCCGCTTCGGCGAATGCACGACGAGCGAACTAGAGCGAACAGTGGTGGAAGAATTAACGCAATTTCTGCTTGTTAAATACTTGACTGGTCACTTTTAATTTGCCCTAAGTCAATTTCATCATGAGAGACTAATGCAGAAAAGGGTGAAAATGACCACATGGACTAAAAAGAAACCATAGAAACCCGGATCTAGGACAAAATGCGGGGTATCCCAGCAGCTTATTACTTCGATTTGACTCGTTTGACCACCGTTCCCGGCCGTTCCAGTGTCGCGGGGTCCAGCTTCCGAACAACCGGTTCGTAACTCGAATTCATTCCTCCATCCTGATCCAAAACTGAGCAATAATGACATCAAATGACGAGAATTCCAGACGAGGCTATCTTGCTCGGTACGTGGCTTCTTGTAAAGAGTAATCACCTCCTATGGCAATGACTTCCATCCAGTGGCAACTTCGGAAGACTAACCTGCCTTCCACTTTTATACTATAGTTCCATAATCTTAACAATTGGGGGTGGGGCTCTTGGTTGCTCCATTCTCACTGCGCTATCTTGTGACTTCATTGGGGTTGAGAACGTCGTTGTTACCGAAAACGCATTCTCGGATGCCCCCTACCTCAAGACAGTTGGACTCTTCTCCTTCAATTCGGCCGCAAATGAAAGTTGTGAGCACTACCGCACTCGACTATTGCACTCCAATTTCAATGAATGGTTCACTATTGGGCAAATTGCTTCTCTCGCTGCTCCAGCTTTGGGCTTGATTGGCTGGATTCTGGTATTGAGTGAGTTGTTGATTTCCCAATGCCGATTCAACGGAAGCTTCGTGCTTCAGAACGTTCTGTTCATAGCGGCATTTACTTTCCAATGTTGTACGTTTCTACTTCTTGGACAAACCCAGTTTTGGTGAGTGTTTTTCTTCTTAAGGTGTGAACGACATGGACACAAACGTCACAGCTAACAATTTGTTTTTCCCGCATTAGCTTTTATGACAAGATGTTTCATTGCACCTGGGAAATCGGTAAGTCACTAATCCGTCATTTGGTTTGGCATAAGCGCTTGACGGGGGACTCTAATGCGTCATCGTGTTTCATAGGCTCTATTCTCTCCATCATCGCTGCATCAATGTTTTATTTGTGTTCCATTCTTTTATGCTGCTTGTCGCGGCCCAAACATTTCCCGAATGATCACGATGACAGAGAATGTGAAGATGACAAGGTTTAACCAACGATTATTCACGTGAATGAGAAGACCAATTTATTATAATCCCAAGTATTTATCTAACGCTTTGTCGACATGCCCTTTCTATACAGCTGCCGCTCCGTCTTCAAATCTATGTGCTGTTTGTCATAAGCTAGTACTACCAGTTTGATCTGCAAAGTATTCCACTCAAATTTGCCAGGGGCTGCTCTACCGGTACCTGGTAACTTGTGCGTAGACATGGAAAGAAAATGCAGGCGCGTGATAGTATCGAGTGCAAGTCTATGATTCGACTTGCTCTGGGCGTGTCAACCCTCTTGACATAGAGCCAATGAATAGTTGTATGCCGGCATCCGTTGAACACATTTTATTTAACTTGGAGACACGTCATGCTCGGGAGGCAGTCCCGATTTACTTAGCAGAACCAATGAGGGAGAGCGCTGAGTCGTGTGGTCACATTTCATTTCGGCACCAAAAACATTTCAATATCCAATTATAATACAAATCAATAAAAAGACAATATTTTAAGATCGCCATGGCGGGCTATGATCCTGGATATGCAATTTGTGGCAGGTATGTATCGTCCTTCGATCACGCTTATAGTGCTACAGAATATTACTCTTTATTCTCAACCATCTGGATCTGACCTTCTTGATCTTAATCTGTTCGTCACTAGACTTTATGTTTTGCTCCTTGGGCTAGGTGCAATTGGGGCCTCAGTCCTGCTCCTGTTCTCGTGCCAACTTTTCTCCTACGAAACTACAGATGGCGAGTTGAGTGGAGGACTTGAACCCCCTTTTGATCAGCTATCGTCTGCCTCCGTTGGACTGTTTTCTTTCTCCGAATTAACCACAACTGACGAAGATGCGATCTTTGGCGACCAATGCGTCAAATACGATGACTGGCAAATTGCAGGACAAAATGTATACTTCTCAGTGGCCCAAATATCCGCCATAGCTGCTCCTGTGCTGGGGTTTCTGGCTTGGGTCCAGGTTTTCTTTGACATGATCTGCTGTAGACTCTGCGGGAGTTTTGTTTTGATCAGTTTGTTATTTTTCACTGCATCGGCTCTTCAGGGCTGCACATTTTTGGCTTTTGCGGATTCTGAGTTTTGGTAAGCTTTTCAGTATGTTGTGGCAATCGCGCTTTCTTTTGTTGAAAGCTGGGCCTAAAATTGGATTGTTTTCAAAAATCAGCTTGGAGGTCGATTCGTTGAACAGTTGCACTCTTCAAACTGGGGCGTGGTACTCCCTTGGAGCAGCAGTAGCATATCTTATTCTTTCGGTGCTTGCGCCAATTGTTCCTATTTCACCATTTGAGGAACGCAAGGGATGCTGCATTGTGCGAGGAACACCAAAGGAGGTTGAGCAACCGACTTCAAGCAAGAACAGGACTGCTAAGAATGATACAACGGCTCAGATTAGCAAAGCAACTGGAAAGCGTGAGGAAACTAAGAAATCTGATCTGAAACAGCGCGACGTAGAAGCGAATGATGCATACGATTCAGGTCCCGGAGAGACAACTGATGACGACGAGAAGACTACGAACACGAACAATGAAGGTACCGCTACTTTAGCTGAAGAAGACGCAGTTGAAGAGGAGGACAAGGGTGGACTGTGCAGCGGTGGTTTCTTTGACAACATCTGCGGCAAGAACGAACAGGGAACTGAGGCGCAACAGCCAAAAAAGAATGACGACCATTAGGCACGGATTGTGAGCGCCATTCTATCCATCGTTGGCCACATCCAAACTATGAACATTTCATTTATTGTCTAGCTTTATTTTTAATATTTGTACGGTAGGTTGGGAGGTTAAAATTTTCTAACCTATGTTGAGGTCCCATAGTGTCCTGTCGCAAGGTCCAAACCAAATCGAGTTGCGGGCTACTTTGCTGGCTGATATTGTACTCGTATTGTACCCTTTATATTGGATTGGGGAAAAGACAGGAACACCTGTAATGACCTCGGAGTGACCTTGGAACTAGATTAGATCCTTTGGAGGTACAGACATAGCTTTAGGCCAAACTCTCACGTCACTCCTTTCTGTGGCTTTCTGAGAGACTCTATAACTTTTGTTGTGACCCATTCCTATCTCTTCTTCTAGGCTGGTTCACTATTCGAATAGCCATAAGGCTTAGATTGAAGACTACAAGAGTATACTCTGACACACACAAGCAGTTGCCGTTTGATTTGATCGAAAAACCTTGATCCTTGCAGATTTACAACCAGTTTCACACTCCAGTACTTTTTCTATGATGGCTTCTACGCACATGCTCCGTCAAACCATTATTGTCAATGAGGGCGACTCTCCATTGGCATACAAGTCCAAAGAAATCACTAGTCCAGTGATGCAGTATGTCAGCTTTATCGACAACAACTTTGAGCGCAAGCGGAAGGTTGAAGTTTGGAATGGTGCAAGTGGAAAGAATGTTGAACCACTCCTCGGGTCCATTCAATCCTTTTGCAACATTGTTACAGAGTGGGGAATCAATCAGGGTCGTCAAAAGAAGGCCTTGTTCAAGCAATTCCTCACTGCTGAACCGTAAATGACCTATCAGAGAATTTGTGACACTCATGGGAACTCAGTTCAGGACTTTGAAAACTCTGTCAATGAGTTCATTTGCAAATACACTGGTGAAAATCCCAAGTATCAGGCGAACTCTTTGATACTTCCAACCACATTTGCAAACCGTACAATACAGAAATTGGAATTCACGCAAATCGCTTGAAAACTCTATTTATGTATCACGATATGCTTCCTGGAAATTGTTCCAATGTGAACGATGAAAACGATCCGGCTCAAATCCGGAAAAGAAAGCTGGCACTGTTTCGATCCTTTCCACTTGATTGGCAGGGAGATTTTATCAATTCGCGGAATGATCTGGCAAATGACGATAATATTGCGTGGAAAGATTTTGTCAGTTGGATGACACAGAAGAAAAGAACAGTGGACAGAAAGAAGCTCGTGCAGAAGAGTTCTCAACGTCGAACTCAACCTGGCAATCGCACAGGCGGTAGAGGCCTTCACCAAAATCGTTTTGGTGTTGGTCGTGGTCATATTTGACCAAGCAATGGTTTTCAACCATATCCAAGACCCCCGAACTCTCCAAGATATTCTCAAGGGAATTCACAAGGTTTTCAATGTGGAGGCAGTTCCTACCAACAGAACCAAGGACGATTTCAACCAAGAAATCCCTACAATGGTGGCAGAGGCCGTGGATTCAATGGCCAGCGCAGTGGACGCTCCCAAGCTGGTCGCTTTCAGCCAGGACGAAACTATCAAGGCAGAGGCCAACCACAGCAACAACAGAGACAAAACTACTACTCTGAGTCGCACTACAATCAAGAAGCTGATGTTGGAGGCCAATTTCTGGCTGTATAGCTCTCCTATGTTAGAAGTAAGCGATCCACTGCCGCCTGCAATCTACCTGTTCAATTGACTGCAATTTAGCTGTCCAGGTATTGTTGCCTTCTAAGTATGTGAATTTACAGTATATAGAAGTATATAGATCTATTAGAGATCCTACTTTATCAACCAATTCACTTGTTGCTTGCAATATATTATAAAAAGTGAGAACAATCTGTCAACTTTTGACTTTGACTCTTTCTTCTCCAGCTCAGTGGAAATTCTCAGAATTCTCTCTACGTCAGCCTGATATGCTGCAAGTTCAATGTATTTATCCGTTCACCTTCCACTGTAGTCGGTACTTTGATTAGTATCCAACTTTGGTTCTTGCTTTAGTCTTGCTTTCTTACATCATCAATAGGATGATTTCCATAGAAATATGATCTGTTTTCTGACTCGCCACGCGCGATATTTTTAGATGCATCAGTCTTCTTTTTAAGTCGTATCAGTCGACATCTTTTCTCTATCGTTCACATGTATTCTCTTTTTCTCGTTTCTCCAAATATGTACTTAAAAAATCCTAATATATCCAACATCCTACTGAGAGGGCTATAATACACAGACAGGCCTATGCCTCTAGTCTAAAAAGATAAAAGGACTTTTATTTGAATGTTAATTCCAGTATCTATTTGTTGTTACCTGGATTGAATGAGCATTGCAGCTCATGCAATCCAGTGGCTACTTCGATTTACCTATTTACTAGTTTAATTGGTATAAGTATACAATACCGATTCCAGAAAGTTTTATGTTGTCCGCACTTTCTACGAGTCGCGCCGTAAGAAAACCACGCAAAATTTGTGGCCCGTGTAGACTAACTACGGCGCGAAAACCGTTTGGTCTTGGGAAATTAATTCCCGGAAATGTAGTGTTAGTGGTTATAGACTGTGTAACATTTAGAAATGGCGTTCGTATAATTATAATAACTGTGTTGCTACATCTGTCTGTGTTGGGATATGACGAAATATGAGTTTTTACGTTCCAAAATGAAACTATTCAAGTACGAGGTTTTCGACACGTGCGATCGGAATTTGATCGTGCAAGATGTCGGGATTCGACGCAAGTATGCCGG